GTCAAAGTTTGACAACAGATGAAATGATTTGGCCTGACAGTTACACACACACTTCACCAGGGTGAAGATAATCACCCGTGGCAGAGAAGCAATAACTTTGGGAACTGAGAGAATTTGAAAGCTACGTTTTATTTTTTAACTACTTAAACTAGACGTATTTTCCTATGCTAAAATGAGGCTTTGAAATTATGATGACTCAGACATACACTGGGCTACCCTGGTGGCTCAGCTGGTAAAGAATCTGCCTGCAATGTGGGAGACCTGGGTTCTATCCCTGGGTTGGGAAGATCCCCTGGAGAAGGGAAAGGCTACTCACTCCAGTGTTCTGGCCTGGAGAACTCTATGAACTGTATAGTCCATGGGATCTCAAAGAGTCATACACAACTGAGCGACTTTTACTCATTCACTTCCTATGCTAAAATGAGACTTTAAAATTATGATGACTCAGACATACACTACTTTCCAACAACACTTGTGAATGCTACAATTAATCCAGTAATTCATTTTATTGATAATGTACAATTAGGATGCTAAATGATCTGAACATATTACTTCTCTTAATTTAAGTCTTTTACACCCATTTTAATTAAGCAAAGCAAAGTTAAAATCATACACATAATAAGGAAAGTAGTATTAAAATAAATGAAATAAGATTGTCCTCCATACTCAGTTTAATTGCCACAAAAGACTATTACTACATACTTTTACAGATGGTGGGGCTTCTAAACATTGAGCCCATAAATGTATTAACACAGCCTGAAATTGATGTTTAACTCCTTTGACTTGGAGCAGAATCAGTTCTTTTCTTTGCTGCTGCTGCTGCTAAGTCACTTCAGTTGTGTCCAACTCTGTGTGACCCCATAGATGGCAGCCCACCAGGCTTTCCATCCCTGGGATTCTCCAGGCAAGAACACTGCAGTGGGTTGCCAGTTCCTTCTCCAATGCGTGAAAGTGAAAAGTGAAAGTGAAGTCGCTCAGTCATGTCTGACTCGTAGAGGCCCCATGGACTGCAGCCCACCAGGCTCCTCCGTCCATGGGATTTTCCAGGCAAGGGTACTGGAGTGGGCTGCCATCGCCTTCTCCGTTTCTTTGCTAAGTGTTTATCATAAATAGAGATCTCCTCTTGCAAATAAAATATTTAAGCATCAGAATGGACCTCTCTTTATGACCTACAAATAACCATTCAATATTTAGTTGTTAAGCGATATGTGTTTTTCTTGGGATAGTTTTAATCCTTTGAAAGACATTTCATTTTTGAACATTTAGAAAGAATATACACCTATGTGTGCTGGCATGTAGCAGGCATTTCTTAAATATTTCTTGAATTTCTTCCGTCAAGAAGTTATTTACACAAACAACCACTCTTAATTATTTGACAGGCTGCTGGAAAACCTTAAAGCTGGTTTTCTCCCCACAGTTGTATACCACTGAGCAACCTGAAAATGCATAGCACTTTTCACTTGGATGGAAAAATTAACATAACTTGAGCACCCACTGTTTTTCACACACATCAGGCACTTTTTAAAAACATATATTAACTCTTTAAAGCCTTATTGATTGGAATAATCCTGTCAATAAGGTACAATTATGCCCATTTCACATATAAAGAAACCATGCAAGGGAATTATATATCTTGCCTGATGTATGAAATTAGGACGTGGTATAACCAGGATTTAAATCCAGTGGGGTCTGATTCCAAAGTCCATATTTCCTCTGCAATATTATATTGCCTCTTGTATATAGACCTTAAATTTAACTCTATTCTAGTAACTTCTCCAAAATATTGAGACCTTTCTTGTTAATATGGGCTGACTTTATTAGCCTGGTGGCCATATTTTCCATAGAGAAATAGTAATGTTTAACCTGAGAAAGAGTTTTAACGCCAGTGTTAGGTTAGCTGGAAGTTAGTATGACAGAGGTTAATTTCTGATAAATGTAGGGGCAAGAAAGGATTCGAGTTGGGCTATCTTGAAATATTCAGGAGGATGGATATAATCACAGGTTGACATGTTTGCACTAATTTATCAATTCTGATGCTAAGAAGTTTTTGACATAATTCCTTAGACATTGGGATTTGGCACAGAAATGTTTTGATAGGTCTTAATAGACAAAATAGACATTTTTAGTCTCTTTTCTTTTTTAACTAAAACCTGCTGAAGCCAGTGATTTCACCCAACCCCTGAGCTTCTTATGTGCTTAACTGCTCAGTCGTGTTTGACTCTGTGACCCCACGGACCGTAGCCCGCCAGGCTCCTCTGTCCATGGGATTCTCCAGGCAAGAACACTGGAGTGGGTAGCTGTTCCCTTCCCCGAGTGTCCTGCCTCCTAGCCGGTCCCACAGGGACTGGAGCTGAAATCTAAACAGAGTTGACCTGCCCACAAATGTGGGCGCCCCTCTTTCTTTCTCCCGGCTCCACAAGCCCAGGTGGGCCCAAGGCCTTCTCGGGCTCGCTCCTGGTGGTGTCCGCTAGGCCATTCCCACTGTTAGACCTGCAGCTACTGCTGAGGGCCAAATCCTCGCATCTTTTCTGACTTTGAGAGTCCTGATCCCGCCCCAGAGCGTGCAGCTCCTGGGAAGCTGAGTCCGTCTGCTCACTCTTCTTCTGTGAGACAAACCTCATCCCCAGGCCCCATCCACTCTGGAATTCTGGTGAACAAAGTCTGGTCTCTCATTGCACTCTGGTGGTGCTTTAGGGAGGCCAAGTCTCAGCGAGGAGGCAGGGATAAAGTGAGTCAGAAAGAGAAAAACAAATACCGTATATTAACGCATGTGTGTGGGCTCCAGAAACATTAGGTCCTGATGAACTTATGTTTGCAAAGCAGAAACAGACACATGGAGGACGGATGTATGGACCCCAAGGCTGGAGGGGAGTGGGATGAAGTGAGAGGCTGAGATTGACGTGTATACACTGCTGTGTCAAAAACAGACAGCCCATGAGAACCTGCACAGTCCAGGGGAGTCTGCTCAGCGCTCGTGGAGACCTAAACGGGACGGAAATCCAAAAAAGAGGGGACACGTGTCCCACAGAGCTGATTTGCTTTGCTGTGCAATGGAAACTAACGCAACCTTGTTAAGCAAGTGCACGCCAATTAAAAAAAAAATACTGTCTGACCAAGAGACCTCATCGAAACAGGAGTCACATCTTCGCGGACCATCCGGCTCTCCTCAGAAGGGCAGCAGGGGCTCGACACACCACCCCTGCTTTTCTCTGTCGATTCTTTGCTCCTTAAATGGCCTGAGTTTCTAATATCTGTCACCCTTACAATTAAAGCAGCTAGAGAGCTGGGGTTCAGATTGCCCAGGAAATACTCAACTACACTTCTAACATCTTTTTTGGAGTCTTTATTAATATAAATGTGTCATATTTAATATCCTAAAACTAATTTCAAATGATGGCTTTGGGGAAGAGATTAATATTCTCATAAAGGTTAACCCAGTTTTTTATTATAGACTTACTTTTGAAATGTAATTGTTATTGTAATAAAACTATAAGGCCTTAACTTGATAGCTTATTCTATGAAATTATTAAAACCATTTCATTGTACCTACACAACTATGGGCTGCCCAGGCGCCACTAGTGATAAAGTACCAGCCTGCCAATGCAGGAGACATGAGAAGCGTGGGTTCAGTTCCTGGGTCTGGAAGATCCTCTGAAGGAGGGCATGGCAACCCACTCCAGTATTCTTGCCTGGAGAATCCCATGGACAGAGGAGCCTGGCGGGCTACAGTCTATAAGGTCACACGGAGTCAGACACGACTGAGGCAACTTAGCACACAGGCACCTCTACGCAACTACACCCAACTGTTAGAATAATCCAGATGTTGAATAGAGTACAAAACAAAAGTTTTTGTCATAGCCGGAATGGTAGCCAGCAGATTAAGTGTGGGTCAAAGGGGGTCTATTTTTCATATTATTGACTGCTTTTCAAAAGATATTTTTAGTCTGATCAAGCTACATGGAATCGAAATGACTAAATTGGGATGCATCCTTTGGCAAAGTGGCTGCCCCAAAATGCCTGTATCAGAATAGCTGTGTCATAGTCTGACTGAACATGTATTATACTCTCAGCATGCGTTGCACTCTCATCTCTCAGAGATGTGTATTCAGGGTTAGGCATGTTTATGGCTGAATGAATGCTTGACAATAGTCTTCTAATATAGGTAGAAATATGGTCGTTAGAGTGGGTTAATTAATTTACCCAGCTAATATTTGCTGGGTAACTACTATAGTCCAGGTTTTTTTCAATAATAAGTTTTCCTGGGACTTCCCTGGAGTCCAGTGGTTAAGTCTGTGCTTCCCCTGCAGGGGGCACAGGTTCGGCCCTTGGCAGGGAGAACTAAGACCCCACATGCTGCATGGTGAGGCCAAAAAAGAAAAGTATATATATTTTTTCCAATATTTTTCTATTATTATCAGAATCTAGGATCACTGAAATCTTTTAAAAATAATTTATTCAATGTGAATCATAATTCATGAAGTTAAGTAAATTACAAGATATTTAAGGAGGAGAAATCCCATATGTGCCAAGATTCAGTGTACTAAGTGTAACCAGTGAGCGGGTTAACTGTCTCAGTTAACTTACTGTCTCAGGGAAGTCATGAGAGCTGCAAGGTGCACTAAAATCCATTTTATAAACAAGTCTCTCCTCTTCGCCACGTATGAGTCGGCAAAGCTTGAAGTACCCTTTGCTCACAGATTAAAATGTTTTAAATCATGGTTTCTTGTCTCTTCGAAAATGGGCTAGTCAAGGAATATGATATCAAGCATACAAAGGGTCCATGCGCTGAAAAGCAAACTCATTATAAAATGTAGATACCTATCTAGCTAAGTCAGCTTCAACTTACAGCCTGTATCTTAATAAAAGTCTGTGATTTTCACTTAAAAAGTAGCTGTGGCACGGTGCCCGCGCAGGCGGGCCGCACGGATCCGGGTCTGCAGCCTGCAGGCTCGCAGGCGAGGAGGCAGCCCCCACCCGTGACGTGTGGCGTGTCTCCTCAGCCTTGATGCACGCCCTGGTGTTCGGGAATGTGACGGCGATCATCCAGAGGATGTACTCCAGGTGGTCCCTCTATCACACCAGGACCAAGGACCTGAAAGACTTCATCCGCGTGCACCACCTGCCCCAGCAGCTCAAGCAGCGGATGCTGGAGTACTTCCAGACAACCTGGTCGGTCAACAACGGCATAGACTCCAACGAGGTAAGGCGGCGTGCTGCCGGGGCCGTTCTCGGCAGGAAGCACGTATGCCGAGGTGAGGGCGGGCGCTGCAGTGCAGGTCTGCGGAGTGAGGCGCAGCCTACCGCTGCTCCGGCGCTTTGCCGTTAACCTCTCATGACCCCCACAGGCGCTCTGTGTCTGGTCTCGCTTGCGCTTTCATGATGTCACTGGATCGGCCAGTGTTTCACAGCAGCTTCGGTCAGTCAGGTAGACATATTTTCACTCTCACTGACCCTCTTTGGAGGAACCAATTCTTAGGACAGTTGCATGGTATGATCATGGACTATTAGGTTAATCAAGGTAATGTTCACCTTTAAAGCCAACAAAGTAGAAAAAAAAAAAAAAATGCATTTTTCTGCAAACATGTCTGGACTTGCAGAAACACCCTGGACCACCACTGTAGGTGTCCCATAAGTCAAGCAACTATTGCATCATCCCGACAACAAAGCCAGGCGTCAATATCTTTAAGTGCTTATTTGGTTTTTCCTCTCTCCAGATGAGCAGGACAGCGGGGGAAACACTCGAGGGCCCACACTCCGTATCTTCTGTCCTGAGTTAAGTGTCTGTCAGAAGCAAGCCACGAAGCACAATATGCTTCATTCCAGAGTCTTTTATTAATCGATTGTCTTTCTCCAGACTTACCAGTAGCTGACTAGTCAGGAGCACACAGCCGGGCTCACGGTCCCAGAGGCCCGGGACCATTCGCACGTGCAGCTTCCTCTTCTGCCCCCGGATTGGTCAAACAGCGGGGCAGGGGCCCTGCGCTCTCACAGTCAGGCCGCGCTGCGAGGCTGCCCCCAGCTCGGCCCCTCTCTCCTCCTCCCGCAGCTTCTGAAAGACTTCCCAGACGAGCTCCGCTCCGACATCACCATGCACCTGAACAAGGAGATCCTGCAGCTGTCCCTCTTCGAGTGCGCCAGCCGCGGCTGCCTGCGCTCGCTGTCCCTGCACATCAAGACCTCCTTCTGCGCGCCCGGCGAGTACCTGCTCCGCCAGGGGGACGCCCTGCAGGCCATCTACTTCGTGTGCTCGGGCTCCATGGAGGTGTTGAAGGACAGCATGGTGCTGGCCATTCTCGGTGGGTCTCCCTGGAAAGCCCCGCGGATTCTACTCTGAAGCGTTAACTAAGGAGATGGAAAGGGGGGAACTTGTGACTGAGAGAAGGAACACTAGGGATGGGTATCTCGATTCAGGACATGAGTTCAATCTGCCAAGTTGTTATAACTGTTGTTATGCCATATATTGAGTTTGCACTGTGCTGTTATACTCAGCACCTGTTTTGACTCTTGCTAAAAAGCCATCTTGTCCCTATTTTACTCGTGGGTAAATAATAGTTAACTTAATTTCTCCCAAATAACATGGCAAGAGATTGAACACAGTTCTGTTGATTCCTAAAGCCAAGTTATGAATGATGACGTGCCCTGCCTCTTGGTGAAATAGCTGCTGTTTTAAGAATGTTACTGCATTTTTGTGGAGAATCCATCCAGAAAAGAACATTGAAAATTGTTTTATCTGTGCTAGAAATAGCACAAAAGTGAATGCATATTGAGAATAAGTTCTTGTAGCAATCATTAATGTAACACTTCAAGGTGATGATAGGCTAATCTTTCTCCCTCAAAGAAAACTCACAGAACAATTTGTGAAGATTTTGTACCACAAGTTGACTCCAACTATTAAGATGCAGTCAGTGCTTGTTGAAATGTAAAGGTCAGCTAACAACAGACGACATGCTGGGTTAATGTAGAAAAGTTCCTATCTATTGATACAATTTTATGTGTACCTCTTTTAAAAATCATTTTCATTTGTTCATCTTTTCAACTCATATTTCTTGAGGGTCTATGAATGAATCAGGTAAACAGGTAAACAATATATTTTGAACGCCAGTGCAGAACACCAATGTTTAGAATTTATGTTAATTAAAAGTGGCTAATGCAGCATTTTTCATTTTTTAAAATTTTCATATTCAAGAACCTAATTTTGTGGAGAACTTAACCTTTTACAAAATATTTTCACATGTGGGACCTTTGTTAAGTTTTCCTAACACAAAGAGACAGATGACAGGTGTGTTTTTTCCCCAAGGTCAAAGCTAACCTCGGTTTTCAGACTGTCCAGTGCACTTTCCCCCTCTACACAATGCTTTTTTAAAAATTAATTCATTTTTTAATTGAAGGCTAATTGCTTTACAGAATTTTGTTGTTTTCTGTCAAACCTGAACATGAATCAGCCACAGGTATACACATGTCCCCTCCCTCCGTAACCTCCCTCCCAACTCCCTCCCCACCCTACCCCTCTAGCTGATACAGAGCCCCTGTTTGAGTTTCCTGCGACATACAGCAAATTCCTGTTGGCTGTCTCTTTTACATGTGTTCATGTAAGTTTCCATGTTACTCCATCTCACCATCTCCCCTCTCGCCATGTCCAGAAGTCTGTTCTCTATGTTTTAAACAATGCCTTTTATTCTCTGTGACCATTGTAAGTATGCAGGCAGTCAGTTTTCACTGTAAGCTTCAGGATAGGTTCTATTTTGGATGAGAACTAACACTGATTGCTTCCTTGATATGAGCCGAGTGTTATGTGTCCACTATCCAATTCCAATCTTGCAGCACTATTAGTCTGCTGTGATGATCCCAGTTAGAGGTGCAGAGATGGAGGCAGCTGGGGGTGAAACCCCGACATGCTTTTCTCTGCTTCCTGATGCCTTCTGTTGACCACTTATCAGAGGAGAGGTGGGGCTTGCCTTCCAAAGTTTGGATTCAACTCTTAATTCACCCCCTTATATTTTTCTCCTTTTTTTTTGTTTTGATGTGGACCACTTAAAAAAGAATCTTAATTGAATTTGTTACAGTATTGCTTCTCTTTCATGTTTTGGCTTTTTGGCCACAAGGCCTGTGGGATCTTCACTCCCTGACCGGGGATAGAGCTTGCACCCGCTGCCCTGGAGGGTGGAGCCTCAGCCACTGGACTGCTGGGGAGTCCCATGGTTTTCTCCTTGATCGAAAGGCCTGGAATAGCGACAAGCTGGGCTCGGTGTGGCCAGCTTGTTATCAGTGTGAGGGTGAGCCTCTATGTACGTGTGTTTTCCAGGAGGAGAATTGAACACCCTTTCCTGCCCATTTATCCACTCGGTGAAGTTAAAAACCAGTCATTCCATCATGTTTTATCCAAAATTAAAAGTGAGAATCCTTTGAAAATTTGCTTCGAAAACCTTGCTCCAATCATAAAATATTTTTCTGTGGGTTTCCTTAGTACCACTGTAAGTTTTGTAGCCTGCCTGTTGACACAGCCTGCTTTTAAAAGGGCATTTAGTGCCACTTGCATCAACATGGATGGACTCGGAGATTGTCATACTGAGTGAAATAAGTCAGACAAAGAAATAAATATCACAGGATATCGTTTATATGTGGAATCTTAAAAAACTGGTACAAATGACCTTATTTACAAAAGAGAGACACCCACCTAGAAAACAAACTTCCGGTTACAGGGGAAAAAGGGAAGGAGGGATAAATCGGGAGACTGAGAGTGACCTGTGCCCACTGCCGTATGTGAAAACGATGACCAGTGAGGGTCTGCTCTATGGCTCAGGAAACTCCATCCAGTGCTCTGTAGTGACGTCAATGGGAAAGAAACCCAAAAAAGAGTGGATATGCGAATATGTATAACTGATTCATTCTACTTCCACCTGAAACTAGCACATCAGTGTAAAACAACTATAATCCCATAAAAATTAATCAAAATAAAAAATAAAAGGGCATTTAGTTATTTTTCTAGCAACTTATGGTTTGATATACATGTAAGTAAATTAATGCAACATTTTCAGATGTATATATTATGGGTTTTTCCATAATTGTGCTGAATGTTTAAATTTGGTAACTAGCAACAATTCCAGGAATGGAATATGAGGGCATTATCCCTGACATTACATCACAGTAGGTACAAATTTGACAGCTTCAATGTAAATGCCATTGTTTGTAATACACAATTCTGTTGGATTTTCTTCTTTCAAAAAAACTTCTGAAAGAAAGTGAAGTCGCTCAGCTGTGTCCGACTCTTTGTGACCCCATGGACTGTAACCCGCCAGGCTCCTCCGTCCATGGGATTTTCCAAGCAAGAATACTAGAGTAGGTTGCCGTATCCTTCTCCAGGGTATCTTCCCCACCCAGGGATCGAACTAGGATCTCCTGCATTGCAAGCAGACGCTTTCCCGTCTGAGCCGTCGGGGACGCCTGGTGGCCTGTACTAACAACTAAGACGCTTTAGCCATGGCCTCGCGCCTCTGGCCCTGATTTCCTCCATCACTTGAGCTGCCTATGTTTAACATTTTCATATCTCTGCTGGTACCCTGTGCCTCTCAAAAGTGATTAAATGCATGTGGCTCTTCTAAACATGCCTATGTGGTATCGGGACCAAGCCCAAACAAATATAATAAATTATTAATATTTTCTCTCTGTGATTAACATTATCTCAATGGAGATCAACTATTTTACTTTCCCTATGGTAATATTGTCTTATCGGCCAATATAAATCAATATTGACTCTGATAAACTTTAGCACATTGCTTAAATATAGATATTTAATACATGTTCACTCTGCCAACAAAATGAATTAATACATAATATCATAAAGGAAACCTATCACCAAGCACCTGTCAAGCCAAAATTTATTCAAGCAATTCCATTGTCTAATCAATTGTTGGCGGCATCTCTTAATCTGATGCAGTTGATAGAGAGGCAGGGATTTGTTACAGGGATAGAATTTGTTTGCCTGCACACCTTCATTTTAAGTCCCAGTAATTGTGTTTTTCCACCAAGGTCTTCACTGTGATTTAAAGGAAGATGACAAAGCTCCAGTGAAGGCGCTGCTCTCAGATGGCGTTAGTCTGCCTAATTACAATTAAACATAAGTTATGGCTCTAACCAGGAAGGTTTGCAGATGCCTCCCATCAACTTTTTTTTTTCACCCAATGGAAGAATTACTGATTAGTAAATGTCAGAAACTGAATTCTGGGTAATAGAGACTGTGCTGCTGTGCTGGGCTTAGTCGCTCAGTCGTGTCTGACTCTGCGACCCCGTGGACTGCAGCCCACCAGGCTCCTCTGTCCATGGGATGCTCCAGGCAAGAGTACTGGAGTGGGTTGCCATGCCCTCCTCCAGGGGATCTTTCAAACCCAGGTCTCCCGCATTGCAGGCAGATCCTTCACCATCTGAGCCACCGGGGAAGCCCAAGAATACTGGAGTGGGTAGCCTGTCCCTTCTCCAGGGGACCTTCCCGACCCAGGAATTGAACCAGGGTCTCCTGCATTGCAGGTGGATTCTTTACCAGCTGAGCTACCAGGGAAGCCCCAGTAGAGACTGCAAGGGACCACAAAAACCTTCTCTTCCTTTAGAAATAAGGATACTAAAGCCCAGAGTAATTAAGAAACTTAGATCTAGGCTCTAAGTCTAGATAGTGAATAATGCACAAAGTTGTAAAATTAGTGAGGGTGAAAATTAGGCTCCACACAAGGCCCAGCACACAGGTCAGTGATCTATAAATATCCACTGAATAGATGAAAAACCAGAATTCTTTCTAGGATGCCAAGTTAGCAAGATGCTGGGGCCTTTGTGGCTGAAATCACCGTTCCGTGGCCACTCGAGGTACAAGAGTAGAATGACCCTAACGTTTTTCCAAACACCAGTAGAAAATGTGAATTCTCATCATGGCAGCCTGGTGCGTCAAGGTAAATTCCCCTCAGGGATGCAAAGCTTGGGGCTTCCCCCGTGGCTCAGCAGTAAAGAGTCTGCCTGCCATGCAGGAGACCCGGGTTTGATCCCTGGGTCGGGAAGATCCTCTGGAGGAGGGCATGGCAGCCCACTCCAGTCTTCTTGCCTGGAGAATCCCGTGGACAGAGGAGGCTGGCGGGCTGCAGTCCACGGGTCACATAGAGCCAGTCACGACTGAGTGACTGAGCAGCCTCAGCATATAAAACTTGAAAATGTGCTGTATTCAGTCCAGCCTGGCCATATTTACATTTTACATCAGGACTCGACTTTGAATTTTTGAGCAGTAATTTAGATTTCTAACAAAACACGCAAGAAGAAAAAATTGGCAAGTTAGTATTGCTGACAATAAATTCTTCAGCACCACGTGCTGTTTATTCTCTCAGTGTCTATAAATATAGAGCTTAGTCTTTTTTCTTCTGCCAAATAGGCTCGATTTCAAGGTTTTAAAAAGATAATACCTAGAAGTAATTCAATAATTTGAGTTTTTGGTCTGCCACAATACTTATGAATGTCTCAGATATTCATGGATAAGTTGGCACATCTCCTTTTACTGTCAAGTTCAATAAAACAGACTTTTATTGAAGCCTCCTGCATGCCAGGAACTGTTTCCAGAAATTCTGAGCAAAATAAAAAAATAAACATTTAGAAGTTTAAAAATTAATTGAATGAAGAATGGTTGGGACAGTTTGTTCTACAACATTCCAAAGATATTATTTGCTTGGTGGGTTTTGGCTGGCAAATTGTTGGTTGTTGGTTCCCTACAAAATGGAACAAAGTGACCATTTGGAAAAATAAAGTGCAGGCATGATAATGTTTGAGAACAAAGATAAAGCAGACACTCCTTAGCTGTAGCCTTGAGTCCAAGGCCAGTGTTCTTTGTGAACTTGGCCATATTACCTCAGCTTTTAACCTAAGCTTGTCTGAGGACTGAATGGATTTCCTTTCAGATTTCTCACACGGACGCTGAGTGCATTAATGGCTCTGTCTAAAATAAAACTGACGCTGTAATCAGCTCTTTGCCAGCACTTACAATTATGCTCACCTTCCTGCTAGGTTAGACTGATTCAAATCAAGTTCAAAATTTTAAAGATTCAGAGAAATTGTCCAATATGATCTAATCAGCAAACTCAAGGAGATAAGCTGGGTCCCAGTTTAAGACTGATGGGCAGAGGTGTTACAGACAAATATCAGAGGTGCTGGCGCTGGGGTGAGAGAGAATGTGAACAAAGTCATGTCAGACCCTTTCTCCTGCAGTGGAAGGGCTCTCAGTTTTTATTTATTCACTTTCTTTTCTTGCTGGAGAAAATGGGGTTTTCACACTGTCACGGAGCATTAGAATTGTGCCCTTGTTCTGCATTTTTATGTAGTAGATTTCACTGTCCACGATGCCCAGGAGTTGCCTTCGCCTCTCGACTCTCCCCCTTCACACACGCCCCCCGTCTTGCAGACGTGTTCAGAGATAAATAAAACAACTGGAATGTATTAGAAAGCAGATGGTGATGCTTATATTATTGTCCAAAGTACTAGAATCAACATGATTAATATACCTCTTGATGGTCTTACTTCAAAATCCCGAAACATTTTTACTCAGAAAAACTGAGGCATTATTATTTCCTTTGAATAGTTAAAGCAGCTGTGACCAAAAACGTCAACTGCTTTGTCTAAAGTCATTTACCAAATCCTGCGGGGCACCTGACGTGAGCCCATGTGTGACCTACGATTTCTAACTCCCCGTCTCCTAGGCTTTATTCTCGAGAAGAGTTTTCTCGACTGGGTATGGTTCAGAGTGCCAAGGGATGTTTGGCAATGTCTGCAGATACTTGGGGCTGTTATCTCTGGGGGTGGGTGATGTGAGATGCCACTGAAGATTCCACCCTGTACAGAATGATGGGGCCCCAAATCTCAACCCTGCCGAGGCTCAGAAACCCTGCCCCAGATAAAAGGTTCCTCTCCCCTTGGAGTGCAATTTCAGAGAAACGAAGCCTGTAAATCAAATGACGTCTTTCAAGTGACGTGTCTCTTTTCTCACTGTTTCAAGGGAAAGGAGATTTAATTGGAGCCAATCTATCAATTAAGGACCAAGTGATCAAGACCAACGCAGATGTGAAGGCGCTGACCTACTGCGATCTCCAGTGTATCATCCTCAAAGGGCTCTTTGAAGTGCTGGACCTTTACCCAGAATACGCTCACAAATTTGTGGAAGACATTCAGCATGACCTCACATACAACCTTCGAGAAGGTCACGAGAGTGATGTAAGTCTCCCTTCTAATTCCTGCTGAGACCCAAACACACGGGTTCTGGAGATCATTTATAACAGCAAACAACATGTTCTGACGTCACTTCAAAAAGTCTTTGAGCAGATAAGGTGGAACTGTCCAGTCACTAATTGAGCAATTAGGTAATTAGCCAGGAGTCAAACTGGGAGCATGTTATCAATATTTTAGAAAAATATGATTTATGGAGGAGTTCTCTTAAATTTTTTCTTGATTATTTTCATTGCTGATAACCAGGGTGAATGTCAGGGGCATATAATATTTAGCTAGAGAGGTGTGATTTCTCCCGAACGTAAAGATTTCCAGATAGGGTATATGGTTCAGAGCTTGCTGCGTGCGTGTGTATTCCCTACTCCACTGGCTTGATGAGCATTTTGCTTAAGAATATCTTTTTATTTGTTAACCGTGACTCAAAACAGTCTATCTTAAAATGAGTAAATATGTATGAGAGGATTCAAACCCAAGGTTGTCACCCTGGAAGCATAATGAACATTTTATGAAATTATATATTTGCTACATGTTTCAGTTTATACAAACAGCTTTCCTGTCAAATATGTACCAAACTGTGTCCTGTGATTAAGCCGCTCGTGAACATGACTTCATTAAATGTGTCAGACAAATGACTTAATAGGGATGATTGTTGGAAGGCAGGCCAGAGCATGTATGTATATCGCTCTCTATCAACAGACGCCTTCATCTGCTGCCTTCAGCTCTGACCCACATACTTACTATACTCAATTTTCCCCCTAAGGTTTTAAGAAGCGAGGCTCTTGTTTTGGCTAACCCATATTGTGGGGACATCGTCATCAGCATCCTCCAAATTGTCGGGAAAGAAGGAGCCCAAGTTGTATGACTTTCTCTTGGTTGAGGATATCAAATGGCAGGCAGAACGTAGGTGGTACCCCTTTCTGAATTTCAAGATTACCAGATTTGAATGTGTGCATCTCTCCATGGATGGTGGCAAACAGCAAATAGGTGTAAATATTTATTTTGAAACTTTTTGTGTTAAGGACTCTGTCGGTATAAAACATTTTATCTAGTCCTGAAAGCCACTGTGGAAGCTAAGTGTCAGTCAGGTTTTACAGGACGGAAAACAGGTGCAGAATGGCTAAGTAACATGTGTGTGATCACACACACAGGCTCCTCTGTCCGTGGAAATTTCCAGGCAAGGATACTGGAGTGGATTGCCATGGGTTATATAGCAACCCACATATATATATCCCCTTCCAGGGTATCTTTCTGACCCAGGGATTGACCCCCACATCTCCTGCATTGGCAGTCAGGTTCTTTACCACTAGCAAAGAAATAGCCAACATGTCCTCAACATGGACAAATGGAAAATATTGGCTCTCAACCCCAAGTTTTGTTTCATTCAATTACGTTTAAAGAGTCTTCCCTTTAATCCATTTTTTAATCCTCTTTTTGTCTTTGCTGAAACATTCATCACAGCGATTTTACGTCTCCAGTGTGTGAATGGCCAGTGAGACCGTTTTCTTTATCTGTTATTTCTTTTGGGGTTTTGTTTTTTTGCTTTTGAGGTCACTTGCCCTCCCCTACATTTTTCAAACAGATGTCATGACTTTGCTTCAGTGTAGATGTTGTTTATGAAAAAAGTGAAGTCGCTCAGTCATGTCCGACTCTTTCCAACCCCATGGACTGTAGCCCGCCAGACTCCTCCTTCCATGGGATTTTCCAGGCAAGAATGCTGGAGTGGGTTGCCATTTCCTTCTCACGGGGATCTTCCTGACCCAAGAATTGAACCCAGGTGTCCCACACTGCAGGCACACTCTTTACCATCTGAGCCACCCATGAAAAAAGGGTGCCTGTTACTTTCCTTCTAGCGGGGCTATGTTTTCCCGGGACAGGCAGAGAGAGCACCCAGCGGATCGCTTTCGTCCTGCCTACAGCTCCTCCGCGGCTTTGTCAGGCTGATCTGCTTCCGTTTTGCGCCGACCCAGGTGGTACAGCTCTCGGTCCTAAGCCTCAGCTAAACTCCCTGGGTGTTCCCCAGAGCTCCCCCTGCGTGACACGCCTTGACCTCCCGCCTGCGCCTCCCAAGCATCACGAGGGAACTGAATCCCCGGGCTCCTTGGAGACTGCCCCGTGCGCCCAAGTGAGGAGCCGCTGGCCCCTGGGGGCCACGGGAGGGGCCTCCTCTCTGGCTTCACTCCTCCGATCCCGGAAGTCTGGGGACACATGGATTGCTGTCCTCCAGGAAGACTGTTCCTTTCTCTTCTGCTCTATGCGGCCTCGCAGTGAAGCCAAGGTTCCCTCAGAAAAGCACCGGGATAAACGTGACCCTCGGCGCTTCCCTGATGGTTCAGCGGGTGGAGAGTCCACCTGCAGTGCGGGAGACCTGGGTTCGATCCCTGGGGTGGGAAGATCCCCTGGAGAAGGGAAAGGTCGCCCATTCCAGGATTCTGGCCTACATCCTCATGGCCTCCCATTTTCTCAGGGGTCAGAGCCCTTCAAGTCTGACCTGAGTTGGCTGTTCTCCTTTGCTTTTTAAACTGTTATTTTATGTTTTGTCCAGCTTTATAATTATTTTTAGCTCAATATTAGCTATTTCACTATAGCTGAAACAAAAATTTATGCTTCTATACCGAGAACCCCTTCTGAGCTACATTGTTAAGGGCAAATGGGAACTGGAGCTCTGAAATCTTTATTTTTTTAGAGTTCCTCATCTTGTATCACTCAAAATTTATATTTACACTATATTCAAGGTCCTGGTGGCTCAGTTGGTAAAGAATCCACCTGCAATGCAGGAGACAATCTGCAATGCAGGAGACGTGGGTTCTACCCCTGGTTTGGGAAGATCCCCTGGAGGAGGACATGGCAACCCACTCCAGGATTCTTGCCATGGACAGAGGAGCCTGGCGGGCCACAGTCCATGGGGTTGCAAAGAGTCCAACATGACTTAGCGACAAAACCACCAACATCCTGGGTTGCTATGCCTTCTAAAGGCTAGGTAAACTTGGACCATACTTACCAATAATTTTATACTCTGGGGGAGAAGTCGTGTGCTGTGTTTTTTTTATTGGGGTATAATTGCTTTAAATGTTGTATTAGTCTCTGCTGTATGTATGCGTATATCCCCTCCCTCGGTCTTTTTCCCATTGATGCGTATATGTAGACTCTTGTGCTGTTTCTAAGGACGCTGTGACTTTGGTCGGGTGTGGGGGTTCTATTCTGAACCTATGACCATGGCCGCAACTGCTCTGGTGTCAGACCAAGGTGGGCCCAGCCCCTCTCCTTAGTTTCCACACCCACACAAGCAAAAATATCCAATCACAGAGTTTCTGGTGGGTTGAATCCTTTGTGAAAGTTTGGTCTATGGATTCTAGAAGGAGGAACATTTGCATCATGGAAATGCAAACAGTGTGAGTGTAGCTTCACTCTGTATCCTTGCTCTTAAATCTCCCATGGCCGCTCTGCCCCGCTGTTCAGCCCTTTATTTCTGCTCTCCCCGCCTCTCCTGTCTTCCCTCTGCCTCATCCCCAGGTTCCCCACTGTGTCTGATATGTTTTAACTCTCTCTTTGATTGGTTTGTGTCTTTCTGATTTTGCCTTCTGGATATATACCTTCTCTCACAAGTGCTTATAAACTATCAAGTGACAGACAGCATTACCAGAATATCTGGATAAAGAGTAGACTGATTGTCAACCCATTCTGAAATAAAAACAAAGAATGCATTTTAAGAGATAGTCAAAACGTATGCACATCACAGTGAGCTATGAATCTAGAACTCTGATGAACTGTGTAACTTCAGAGTGGCAGCTCATCCAGTTAATTAAAATGTATAAAATATGTTCTGAGTTTGTGAAAAGGCAAGCTAGCACTGCTGACCTCATGCTAATTACTCTTTTTATGCACTCAGTATATTTTATATGTTTGCCCTTATTCATATCTCCTGATGACCCCAATAATGACATAGATTAATTTAGCTATTTCTGTCTATGGGGATTATGAGAAATTTGCTTCACAGCTTCTCATGGTAAACTGATTTTAGCACAGACTCATCTGTTGTTGGTTGTGAAATTTAGTTTGCCTTAACATTAGAATTTTGAGATAAATAATGACCGAAGAGTCTCTAAAGTAAGTTTTCCAAAATTAATAGTGCTGACACACGGAAGGTCAGATACTGATATGGCTGCCTGAGATGCCTTCTGGGTGTGCACATGTGGACTCTGACCTGTGGTGTGGCTGTGGAGCGACAAACGGCAATGCCAGTTTTACCTTACCAGGGGTTACTTGATGAAATTCTTTTTTTTTTTTTTTTTTAATTTTTTTGGCTGAGCTGCATGGCATACGGGGATCTTAGTTCTCCAACTAGGGATCAAACCCATGCTCCCTGCAGTGGAAGCATGGATTCCTAACCACTGGGACTGCCAGGGAGGTCGTGAAATTTTTTGCCATTTTTTAAATTGAAGTATCGGAGAAGGCACTGGCGACCCACCCCAGTGTTCTTGCCTGGAGAATCCCAGGGACGGGGGAGCCTGGTGGGCTGCCGTCTGTGGGGTCGCACAGAGTCAGGCACGACTGACGTGACTTAGCAGCAGCAGTCATTGAAGCATAGTTGACTTACAATGTTCCAGATATACAACAATCACAGTATAACTGTGATTCAGTCACACATATGTATGTATTCCTCTTCAGGTTCTTTTCCTGCATAGGTTATCATATGATAGTGAGTATGGTTCCCTTGTTCTGTAGCAGGTCCTTGTTGTTGATCTTATATACAGTGCAGAGTGTTTGTTAATCCCAGACTCCTAACTTATCCCTCCCACTCTCCCTTTGGTCGCCACAGTTTGTTTTCTGTCCCTGTGTCTGTTTCTGTTTTGTAAATACATTCATTTTTTTAGACTGCACATGTAAGCGATGTCATACGATAGCCTCCAGGTCCATCCACGGTGCTGCAGATGGCGTTACTCTATTCATTTTTATGGCTGAGCAGTATTCCATTGCTTATACGGACCACA